CTTAAATTGATATCTGTCTTTGTGAGAATGGAATTTATCAAAGCTTCTGTTATACAAAAAAAGGCTCATTACACTTAGAAAACATAAAAACACCAGTATAATTAACTAATATAACCAATCAACATAACATCTTTCTAAAGGAGTTTGCTGCTATTAAAATTCAAACTTTCTATACCTAAGCAAAAGATATTTTCTAGCACATTGAGTATTGATGACAAACTTTAGATGCCAGAAAAATATAGTCAATGTCACTGTGCATACATGGTGTATGTTCTGCTGTTTATATTTTCAATCACATCAAAAACAAAACAAATTATACAAAAAAAAGAAATATCCCAATTTTTAAAAAAAATCTAAATTCAATCTGACCATGTTGTTTTTGTTGCTATGTGCTGTTGAGTCCGTTCCAACACATAGAGACCCTCTATATGGTTTCCGAGGACCTGCAGATGAGTTTGAATAACTGACCTTGAGATAGAGTGCTAATGCTACAGTGCCATACTAGGACTCATAGGAAGGATTTAATAGCATTTATTATTAGGTCTATATTCCCACTTTTCCAGGGCAAGGGGAAGGTCTTGAAGGTTTGTGCAGTCAAGAATTTGAGAAAATTTCTGTTACTTGGTACATAAATATCCTTGTTAGTATGTTTATTTATTGCTTCTTTGTTTTATATTGAGGGCTGCAGTAGAGCTTATTTTCTGATTGGTTTTGGCACAAGATTTAAGACTGGGGCTCTCACAAAGGAAGGAACCTGAAGTTCCATCACATCCCCACATACTCACTTTAGAATGACAGGAGTGGTATTCTTTAGTGAACGAAAATTAATGCTAACAGAATGAGTTATTTTGAATAAAATGGATGAATTTCAGTATTCCCTGCCATTCACCACCCTCCAGAGAGTGGATAATTGTGTAGAGTCCTGGTGTGGCGCTGTGGGTTAATGTGCTGGACTGAAAAGTCCATTTGAACCACAAGGTAGGTGGTTCAAGCTCACCAGCTGCTCCTTGGAAACCCTATACAAGGTTGCTATGGGTCAGAACTGATTCAACATCAATTAGCAACAACAGCAATGTGGCACTCTAGCATCAGCACTGGACTGCAAACAAAAGGTCAGCAGTGCAAACCCACCACCTGCTCCTCAGAATCCCTATACAGGGTTGCTATGAGTTGGAATCTACTCCATGACACTTTATAACAATAAAGGCTCAATAAAAAGAGATTATTCATAATCATCCCAGAGAGAGGGGGCTACTGAAAGAAGTGCTTGGTAGGAAAAATAACTGAGTCTGAGCCCCAAGACTGGAAAGGTGACTGCTCCTTTTTTGATTGCTCAGAGTCCGTGGGAATGTGAGAGAACTTCAAGTATTTTTGATATCTTTATTTTTTGAACTTCCAGAACATTTCATTTTAACTTCCCTTTTTTTAATGTTTATATTCTGCTATAGATTGTAATTGTTTGTATATTTTTCTTTAACTTTTTGATTTTTAGATTGTACATTTCCCGAGGGCAGGGATTGTGCTGGAAGGCTAAAAAATCTAGCATATTGCCTGAAAACTAGAAATCCAACAATTGATTTTGATTTTAGATGGTCATCTCCCAACCTATTTTTTAATCAGATACTCTTATCTTTTTTTCTTATAGGCCCTCCATATGTTTTGGACTATATTTATTTGTATACATGTGAATATCTATCTATCTCCAACAATTTTTAGACCTTTGCATTCTGCAATGTAAACACATACCTAGTTATTTCTTCGTGATCATTTTAGTTTAACTTTTATTTGAAATCACTTTTCTGATTTATTATTGACAAACCATTTATTTGTCTCCATGCTATGTTTTGCTTGGTGTCACAATAAATCATACTGGAATATCTAAGGTATTCTAGACTCCATATATGTGCTTTTTTTTTTTTTTAAGTTTACAAAAACTCTAGGTACCACAAAAATAATTCTAACAAAGGTAATCAATCAACCAAACAACAACAACAACAGCAAACATAATACAAACTGATTGGAATACCTAAAAGGGGACTAGAACTTGCCCAGTGAAAGAGGCTTCCTGTGGAGCCTTTGCATTGAAAAAGACTGTAGGTGGAATCCTGAAACCCATCCAGAATATTTCTGAGGTAGAAATTTTCCACTTGAAAGGGCAAACAGACCAGCTTGGAGTGGCTAGAAGAACAGAATAAAGGCATACTTCCAGAAAAAAAGGCATGCAGGAAAAATAAAAAAAACAGCAGACCCCCCTTCCAAGACTAAGACTCAAGGGGAATACATGAGCAGGCATGTGGACTGGCGGGTGACCACATTGGTAACTGATAATGGGAAGTTAGGGGAAAATAGCAATGAAATTGTGACCTAAGTCCGACCACGTTCAATATCCTCCTGTGAACCTGGGTTGAGACATGGTTGACCAGCAGTATGGCAAGAACTGGGGACTCCTGGGCCCAGAGACAAGGACATGGCCACAGAGGACTAGAGTGGAGAATGAACCATCCAGCTTATATGAGGTGAGGGGAGATGCACAAGAACACTCATACTTGCAGATAGTACCCACTTGACCTGATTTCAATGGCTGGATGATCAGAACTCAACTACAAGAAGAAAGAAGAGGGAAAAAAAAAAGAGTAATCTACTACAATTTTATGACCTTAACCTATGTTTATGCATGTAGTAGCTCAAAAGATGGAACAAATCTTCAAAGCTGAGGATCATTCCCACCCCCTCGGTACACAAGGTTGGCAGTGATGGGTAACTTAGACATTGGCTACCCAAAATGGGGTGGTGGGGAAGCTACAAAGGCAAGAAGATTTCAAGAGGGAGCATAGTTCCATAGGATATGGGTGAAGGTAGAGTCTCTACTGAGTGGTTTCCTATTTGTTGGGACGGGGCTGATGAAAGGAGATGGGGTAAGAATCTTGTGGTACAATAGTGAATAGTTGCTATCAGGACTGACTCTGAGGGATGGAAATGTATATGTAGATGTTTTGTAACAAAAGGCGGGGAGTGGTTGATTTTGCAGTCCAGGAGCAGAGGTCCCTGGGACCATCAAGTGAGAAGAGCGGAGTGCGGGACTTTACCCAGAGCAGCAATGATTCCAGAGATGGAGACAGAAACTATGACACGGAGAAATGTAGCAACTGGGGACTCTGGACTCAAGGAAGGAGAGGAGCTGAGTGCTGACTGCTGACTGCCTGGGGGCAGGCTTGTGGGATATACCCTTTGGTTGTCTGATGATGCATGAAGGAGAATGTAATCATTGCAATGAAATGAAATATGATAGGATGAATGTAAAGCTGGTGTTACTCATGTAAACTATCATGTAATACAAAATAAAAACTTTTAAAAAATAGCATACATAAGTTGTGTGTGTGGGGAGGATAGCTTAAGTTGAAAGGAACTTATTTGTGCCATTGTAAATGCTTGCCCCCCTATCTTTAATGTTCTTTATGTCTTCAACCTAGAAAACTCCTACCTACCTTCATAACCATCTCTTAGTGCTAGTTCCCCTTAAATTTTGTTCCCAGTATAACTTGTACTAACATCAAATATAACATCATATTGTACTTCCCCCTATTCAATTGTAATTGATTATTTCATAAATATTAAACATTGGTACTGTCATAGAGTGTGACTCAACAATAAAAGGTGCCATTTCTATTATTTTTATAGTTAACATCCCCAGAACTTGCTTTGTAGTACATTGTTAATAACTGTATATTGTTTATGTGTGCATGCATTTTTAATACATATACCTTTCGCAATGACTGTATCTTTTTATTTGTTATGTACCCAGCCTAGTACATCACTTAAAGCATAGAAAACACTCAGTAAATATTCTAAAAAGGATAAAAAATGGATTGTATGATACTGTTCAACATGTATACACTAGTCATTAAATTTTGTTTTTTTGATGGTAGTACTTTGGTCTTACTCCTGCTTCTCTCCAGCACTTAACATAATACCTAGTGAATGGAAGTTAATAGAGTGAAATAAGACTTAATTCCAATTTTGATACTGACTTGCTTCATAACTGTTATGTATTTGCTCAGTTAATACATATCAATTAAATAACTTTTTTTGTGCAAGGTACTCTTGTTATTATTGTTAAGTATTGTCAAGTGAGTTCTGACTCATGTATGGGGTTTCCGATGAGCATCTAGAGAGTTTGAACCACCGACATTGCAGTTCAAACTGACCTTACAGTCCAACACATTATCCTACAGCACCCCATTTTCCTACATGTCAGAAAGGGAAATTTTCTAGATATCACATAATCTGAAGTATTGGGCTATATTGAAGATAATATTACCAATATTTTGAAGATGAGGAAAGTGGTAATTTTGTTAATTATATATTCTTTTTTTTTGGGGGGGGTGGTTTAAAAAAAATTTTGCACTTTAATGTCAGCTGCCAAACAAAACATGTCCATTCCAACAACCCTGGGCCACTTCACCTTGAGGTACTGCAGGGCTGCCCTGCTCATTCTTTTGGTCTGTTTGCAAATTACCTGGTAATACAAAAATAATGGCTACATATTCTCCAGATTTGCCATATAAAAAAACAAGCAAAAAGTACCGCAGTCTCTTATTACCTTAAAACAAAACATCTCAGGAGAAGTTCAACAGCTTTAACTTCTGTAGCTATTTTTTTCCATAGAAAATGCTAGTAAAATAGTCATAAAAATTAAATAGTGAAACCCCCAACCATATTATATACACTGATACAGTACAAGTGAAAGGAGGCCAAATTCTCAGACACCACCGAATCAATCGCTATCTGGGGACTTCCTGAGGCTGATGCTGTTCCCTGAGGGCAAGGGGAAGGATTGGTTCCCACCCAGGAAGGCTAACAGCTCCTCCAGAAGACAGAAAGAACCCAGCATTTGATTGCTGGCCAGCCTCCGGTATGCAGAGCATCTCAAAGGCAGCCCAGGCGTCACAGGAATAAAGTCATGGGGAGAGAGGTCCTGTGCACCCCTCTAGATAGTGTCCTCAGGATGATGTTGCTCGCTTGGTAGCACTGGGGCTGGAAGGGTTGCTGTTTGCTGTCAAGACCTTGTCGGTGACCCGGCTGCACTTCTGCTTGTCTGCCCCTTCTTTGGATCCTAGGTCTGAGGAGTTCTTCTCTTTCTCTTTGTTGGACTTTTCCGCTGCTTTCCCCAAGCTTCCTGATGATACAAATACATCATCAGCCCCGTTGTGAGGGTTCACATCTTCCTTCATTTCATCTTTCATCTCCTCCTCAATGGGCACTTTTCCTTCCCGGACCTCTTGGATGATGTCCTCTGGTAGGACGAAGTTCCTCTCTGGATTCGGGAAAGTCAGGATCTCAAACTCCTGCAGCGCTTGCATGTCGTACATGGTGCTCAAGTGGTCCCAGATGACCTTGGAGGGGACTTGCCGCCCGATGTTCTGACTGAACTTGTCCCGGATGCATACCATATGGAAGTGCCTGTTCACACCAACGGGCTTGTGGCCCAGCATGGCATGGAAAAGGCACACCTCCACCTCAGGACTCCATACCACCATCTCCTCGGCCAGGCTGGTGGCAGCCTCTCCCGGGCCCATGTCACCTGCAGAGCCGTTGCTGCCCACCTCAGCCTCCTCCATGGCCGGCTGCCGAACTTAATTATATATTCTTGTTACTTAAATGTTCCTACATACAAGAATACAAGACACATGACTTCCATTTTTCAAAGTATTAAAATATTACATAGCCCTAAAACTATAGTGAATGCATCGTTTACATTGTTGATTTAGAAATAAAATCAATAGGGTGGACTAGGCAGATATGTTACTCAGACCCTCTGTAACAAAGTTAAGGGAGAACAAACAAAACACGCACAGATAATTCTGGAATCCTGAGCTTCAGAGGAGAAGTTGGAGAAGTAGATCAAACAATTAATGGGAAGAGAGACTGAGCAGGGGCAGTTAAGGAGGGAGACAGACTGGTGAATGGTCTCACCGGCTGACACAGCAAGGCCATCTTAAATTTTTGCTGGCAGCTTCTGTCTCAGTTCCCAAGTTCCCTTGGTGACAGTAAGGGTGGCCAGCCTCCATCTTCATCCACCCTCAGCACATCGGTTTTGCCAGAGTGAGGTGGGCACCAACAGTGCTGCCTTGGAACCTGGATTTTAGTGGGTTCTGCTTCAGATATACAGAGCCAGCTTGATTATTTACTATATTGACCTTTGGGTGTTAAGTGCCTTTGGGTCATTTCTGACTTAGCCATCCTGTACAAAGTTTTCAAGAAGTGACTGGTTTGTTTGAACCACCACAGTGCCACATCAGTATATAGACCTAGCATTTATATAAAAGGCAAGGTTTTGTTTGTGTGTTTTTTTTTAATTGTTATTATGATTAGCTGAATCAATAATGCCTTCACTCCATGTAAAGCCCTGCATGCACCATCCTTACCTATACATGCTATCGAATAGAAACTTGTATATAACCTTGACCATGCATCTTTTTGATTGTTTGGATAACACCTTAATAACCCCTATATAAATAGAAAATGGGAAAATAAGCCAGATGCGTAGTCAGCTGAAAATTTCTTTGTAAAGATGGCTATCAATGTTTAAGACTCATGATGTGACAATCTGGAGAACTAATGAATGTGCAAGTAGAATGTGAGCTCACATAGGAAAAATAAAAAGTAGTGTTTGCATGTTATAAAACTTTTCATGTGTGCCATTAACCCTATCAACAGTTTGCATTATAAAACAAAACAAATCAAAACAAAAATTAACAGTCACATGTTGTGATCTTAATAGACCAAAAATAGATGGAGAAAAAAGAAACCTAATGTAATCATTGTGCAAAAACTAACTTTATAGAATGATTTAATTTACATTTATGATTATCCAGAGAAAGACCATCTGGTGAGAATGAGCCAGTACTAAATACATGGTAAACAACTGGTGCACAATATTGATTTAATACCAATTTAAAATAGACTTCCTCCAAAAATGGGAGGGATGTCATGTTTAACTTCCTCTGGCTTCACAAGGTGAAAGAGAATCAAACTCAAAATCAATCTAAGGCTGATTTCTATGAGGCAGGGGTCAGGCATTCCTCCACCCTGTTGCTGTTGTTGTTAAGTGCCGTTGAGTTGGTTCTGACTCATAGTGACCCCATATAGGGTTTTGGAGGAGAGGCTGGTGAGGCTGAACCACTGATCTTGTGGCTCAAGTTAACCTTGCAGTCGAGTGTTTATCCTACCAGGACTCTATCCTACCATATTATTTATCCTTTTCTGACACTAACCATTCCACATCTAGCACTTTTGCTTCACAGCTGGATTCAATACCAGTGCAATGGCCACACAGAGTTCATATACAATACTCATGATTATGGGGATTATTCAGGAAATGAATAAAATACCATTTAGGATTACAAACAATTTAGGATGCAACAGTTCCCCAGTCATAAACTCCTCTTCTTTGCTGCATTGTAGCCATGGCTTATTCTTGATTGGCTTCTCAGCTACATGACCCCTCATCCTCTGCCCTCCTCCAGTAAGTGTTACAAAGCTCTTTGAGCCAATCTGTAAATGCTCAAAGAGCACATTCTGCACACCAGCCCATAGACACTAAACTTTTCTTGATCCACGGGACAGAAAGCTCACAGCTGCTGTGTCTCTCCATGCTACCTCTGCAGCCGATGCATTTTCAAATAGGGATCTCAAGCTTTGCTCATGGCTCTTCTTTCTTGGCCCTGGGATCATCTATTTCTGCTTCTAGGATGACTCTTTTTAAACCTAGCAGGATGACAAAACTAACTAATTCCAACATTAGAGTCTTTTACACCCTATTTGCATAGTCCCACACAATCATATTTGGTAGAAGTTAAGTCTTTGGATAGAAAAGCCATATCAAGTAAATTCATACTACATCTCTATAATGGGAAATGAAGTATTACATGAAATATTGCAAACACGTAACATAGAGAGTGAGGCTTCTTCTGAACTATATGCATTACAAAGAGGTCCCTGTGTGAAACAAGTAGTTAAGTGCTCAGCTAGTAACTGAAGACTGGAGTTTCAAACCCACCCAGAGATGCCACAAAGAAAAGCCTGGTGATCTGCCTTCAAATGGTCATAACCTTAAAAGCCCTGTGGAGTGCAGTTTTACTCTGAAACAAGAGATGGAATCAACTTGATGACACATTATTTGTATACATTGAATTGCAATGACTTACTGTTTCAATATTGAAAAACTTACGTCTAGATTATATACAAAATTTTAATTAATTTGATTATATTTTAGACAATGATTAATATTAATATGCAAAATATTCAGTGTTAGGGATTATTTAAAAATCATCAAATGCACCCAAAAAAATACCTGGCTTTCATTTTTTACCTAATTAAAGGTTCAATAGTCTTTTTTGGTCTAATTCCTTAAAAACTGAAATAATAAATGAAATGTACAATATGTGCTATTTCCACAAATGATCATGCCTCTGTTGTCTTTATAATAGAAGTAGATATTAGGATGAGGACACTTACTGAAGAGATTGAATATATTTTTATTGTAAAAAAAATAAAATAAAACATTGGAATCCTTGTGTGATGCTGTACTGCTAACCACAGGGTCAGGTGTTTGAACTCACCAGTTGCTCCTCAGAAAACCTACTCAGTGTCATTATGAGTCAGAACCAACTCGATGGCACTTAACAAAAACAACAAAGGAAAATTACTCAATTTGACATCATTTTAACCTTGATATAATGATAGAATACAAGCACAATATAAGCTGTCAACATTTCTTTTTCTTCTGTTTTTGTTTCTTATTACAGAAGGGGGGAAATATGAAGTTTAAATTTAAAGCAATGCATGTAACCAGTTGCTGCTGAGTCAATGCCAACTCATGGCAACTCCCTACGTGAGCAGACTATTCTCCATAGGGTTTTCATTGGCTGATTTTCCAGAACTAAATTACCAGACCTTTCTTCTGAAGGGCCTCTGTTGTTGTTATTAAGTGTCGTTGAGTCAGCTCTGACCCACAGCGATGCTGTATATCCAAGGAGTGACTGGTGAACTTGAACCACTGACCTTGCAATTCAAACCAACTTAGCAGTCCAGAACGTTAACCCACAGCGCCACACCAAGACTCCCTAGTGAACTTAAATCTTTTACCTTTGGGTTTAGCAGATGAATTTGTTAACCATTTATAAAATACTTTCTCTCTCTCCCCCATTTTTCGAGCTCGGGTAGCGTAGTGGTTACAAATCCGGCTGCAAACCTTAAGGTCAGCAGTTTGAAACTACCAGCTGTTCCGTGAGAGAAAGATGAGGGTTTCTGCTCCCGTAAAGATTTATATTCTCGGAAACACTGTACAGGGTTGTTATGAGTAGAACTCACTCCACAGCACATAACTACTACCACAACCACTTGCTTTGCAATTATTTAATAGTGCTGATGTTGCACTGTGGGTTAATGCACCAGACTGCAAAGCCGTTTGAACTGCAAGGTAGGCTATTCAAGCTCACCAGCTGCTCCTCAGAAACCCTAAACAGTGATGGTCACTATGGGTCAGAATTGACTCGATGGTACTTCACAACAGCAACAACAACATGAGCTAAACATCAAGATATATGATGAACAACAACAAAAATATTCCAAAACACACAAAACAAAATCACAAATGCCATGAAGTCAATTTTGACTAATAGTGACCCTATGGGACAGAATAGAACTATTCCATAGAGTTTTTGAGACTGTAAATCCTTATGGAAGCAGATAGTCTGGTGGGTATGAACCTTTATGGAAGGTTCTTTATTGAAAAGGTTCTTTATGAACCTTTATGTAAATCTTTATGGAAGCAGACAGCAAGAAGCTGGTAGGTATGAACCTCCAACCCTGTGGTTATCAGCCCAATGCTTCATAGAAAAACAAAAATATGAGCATGAATATATGACGTTAAAATATTGTGTTGCATATGGCATTATCTAAAACATGTTAGCCCAAAACTGGAGTCTTGGTGTGGCACTGTAGTATAAGCTCTGGACCACAAGGTTGGCTTGAACCACAAGGTCAGATGTTCAAACTCACCAGCCACTCCTTGGAAAACTTTTACAGAGTTGCTATAAGTAGGAACCTACTCAACTGCAGTTAACAACAACAGTACTCAACTGCTACGATGATATTTGTGTTTCTTGTAAAGAATACATCCTTTTTTTAAGCAAAATGATTTGTTTCTTATGATTGTAATGCATTAATGAAATATCAAAAGCAATATTTACAATTGTGTTTCCCTTGATATATCTTAAGATAGTTTATTTGGTAAACGGAAAACAAAGAGTTTACACTAAATCAATTGAAAACCTTTTTTGAGGGGCATTGAATATGTATAATGACTGTAGCTAATTCTTGAGGTCAGAAATGCATATGATTAATTCAGTGTGATGACTTGATATCTACTTGAAGTGTTTGAATTTAGCATTACATTTAGTGGATTTATTAAATATTGATTTATATCTATCAGCAAAAGTTGGCACAACATATTATTTCTGATTATACGTTTGGAAGAAGCAGTCAAGGTAAGGAGGTGTAGTTGCTAGAGTTTCTTTGACCTGAGAGTCATTAGCTATTATAATAAGGATGTCACAAGGATA